AAAAAAAAAAAAAAAAAAAAAAAAAAAAACACATCATAGTAAAATTAATACCTTCTTAGTTTCGCATTGAAGCTAAAATGTATTTTAATAAAATTTAGTGTTAATTTTTTTTTCATTATTGATTATTTTAATATTTAATAATAAAATAATTATTGTACTTTTAGCTAATAATTCGTTTAATAATTATTATTTCATTGACCACATAAATATCGTACTAAATAAGTATAACTAAAAATTTAGTGATTACAGTGACTAAATAATAATTTATATAATACATTTTAGATATTTCGTTAAGTTTCTATTATGCATGTAATCATATTTACATGTTTACAGTATTACGACTATTAATACATATTCTCATATGTTTTTTGTTTCATTTGCTGGGCTATTTATTTAAATTCTTATAATTTTTAAACTTAATTTTATGTCCATTTTGTTAAAATGGCATCAAATCTGAATTTAACTTGAAGTAAAAATTATGGTTTCATAGTTTTTCATTACTTGCCTTAAATATTTTTAATACAACAAAATCAACAGGTGCCATTCCACGTTTTACATTTTCAAAATATTTTTGCAAATTACTATCATACGACAGTAACAGCTCTTTTACATCTGAATATTTCAATGGATTTTTTGACGAATTATTATTTATTATGTCAGTGTTTTTAATATTTGAAATTTTAAAATTATTTGCTAGTATATTGAAAGATCCCCTGACTTTAGTGGTATACATCATTAATGTTTGCTGGTTAATTATTTTATCATTTTTCATGTCATTTGCATAATCATAGAATGGTTTTATAAACAATTCGCTTGAAAATACACCTATTTCAGTTATTGTGTTTAATGGGATTTTAAACAAATCCAAAAAAACTACTGGGTCAAATGCGTTTAAAAAGAAATTTATAAGACAAATACTATGTTGAGCTAAATAATAATAAGTTACCAGTAATAAATTTCTCTTTATAGCGTCAGTATATATCCACAATTTAAAATAATCAGTTTTCCAATAGGTGCACACTGTTATATATGTCTGTGCTATATGATATTCATCATAACTTGGAAATAATTCTTTAGGAGGAATGAATGTCTTATAACCATCATTGTTATCCCAAAAAAAGCTATAAACATTTGATACATCTTCATACTGATAAATTTTGTTAAACTCCACAGGATAATTGGAATACAATTTTAATTGTGTTGATATTTCCTTTATTGTATCAAGATCAGGATAATTGTTATGTCTTTTAGGAGGATATTGTAAATTATTTTGGCAAAAGGATTGCATACAAAAGTCGAACATGATCTCGATAAATTCAAAGTTAATATTTTCTGGTGATATTTTTTTTTCAACCAATGCATTTATAGTAATTGATGTATACCAGATGCCGTTTGTAGTAAAACCTATTGTATAATAGTATATCGATAACATGCGATGTACAATTACCTTGAATAACCATAGCGCATTATACTGTATATTATTTTTATTTACCATGTCATACTTGATGTAGTACATTATATAAAGGCAAAGTTCTGTGTACTTGCATCCTAATTTGCACATTTTATCTTTAAGTTTATCGTTTCCAAAAATCAAAAATTTTTCATTTATTTCATTGTTTTTTAAAAGGCTTTGAATTTCTTTATCCGTAAGTATACAATTTTTTGGTCCAAAAATATCATTTACTATGCTTAAAAAATATGCATTTCTTTCACATTGCTATAACAAAACAAAAGGATACATTCATTCATAATATAATAAATTTATGCAATATATTATTATTCTTTAAATTACATATTATTTTATTTATTTAGCAAGAGCAAATATAATGATAATCACTTTGAAATAGAATCATTTAGACAATAAGAGATATTCTTAAATTTTTATTAGCTTCAATGGAAGCTGAGAAGGTATTAATTTCAAAATAACATTTGAGAATACTCCGAGTATCAAACTTTAATGAAAGCTTATGTTATATATTACAAGGTCAAAAAAAAAAATGCATGTTTTTTAAGTACGGTAATCATTTGCACATAGGAGATAAGTCGTCGGGACAATTTTTTTTTTAAACGTCTAGTACATAACATAAGCTTTATTTCAATATATGTTTAAAGCTCAGAGTATATCCGGAATATTTTTAAAACTTAAGTTAAAAAAGTTAAACTTTTGTGCAGAATTTGCTATTTTGAATTCCCCAGTGGGCAGGTAATGAGTCAAATTTCAAAAAAATCATATTAAATGAAAAAAAATATCTAAGTTTTCAATATAAAAAAATTATTTTGATATGTTCTTTTTTCGAATAGTTATGGCATTTTTAAGAAAAAAAATTTTAAAAAAAACCAGCACAGGGGGGTCGCGGCACAGTGGTGACGTGGCATAGTTGGATCAAGTATAATGATATCTGACAGTGATTAAAATCACTATCGAAAAAAAAACGCTTCGATGCTAATTTTTAGATAGTGTTTAATTTTAAAAAATTGGTGGATTATTCCTAAAGTTACATGATCTGCTAGTTCCTTAGTAATATCCTGATTAAGATAAAGTATGTCGAATGAAAGAGGGATTATAAAGAAATATTATTTCTCATAAAAAAATTGTGTTGATCTCTACACTTTTCAATAAGTTATAGCATTATAAAGTTAAAAATGTAAAAAATAAAATCGTGAATTTTCACACAATAATAGCATTTGGTAGCCATTTTCACCGTGAAGACAAAATTAAGTCCGAAATTTTTTTTTTCATAATAAAGTACATTACATTATCTTTAATTTAAGATATATATAAAAGTGTCAGACTTTCCAGAACACTTTCAAAAGATAAGTGTAAAAGTAAATTATTTGTGAAAATGTTGTCATTTCAAATCCTCTGTGGACAGGTAAAGGGTCAGATATAAAAAAAAAATATACCAAATAAAAGGTAATGATATCATGTATCTACAAAAAAAAAATTATATTGATATGTTCATTTTTAAAAATGTTATAGCAATTTTAAGTAAAAAAAATTGAAAAAATTTCGAAAATTTGTCGATTTTTAAATTTGTAATTTTTTTGGAGGTTTCCCCATTTATGGGGAACGAAGGAATTTTTTCAATTTTTGAGCGTAATGTCTTCGATTAGATACGATTTGTGATCTTTTGACGTATCGTTGAAAGAAATCGGTTCGGCGAGAGCTGAGAAAAAGTTGTAACAGACACAAAAAAAAAAAACACATAGTAAAATTCTCAGCTTCACATCGAAGCTAAAATATAAAGAGCAACAATATCTAGGCTATATATTCCTTATATTAGTCTAATATTTAAATAAACTTAATCTGCTTACCCTTGTTAATGGCTGACAATTTAGCTGATACAAAAAAACCAAAAAAACAGTTTGGTATATGATGTGATGTATCATTTTAGCAAAAATAACTTCATACAATTACGACCTATTAAAGAAGTGTTAAACAGTGGGTTTTATATACTCTATAACATACCCAATATATTTTACTTATGCATGGTGTTTGTTTTAACACTAGGTAATCAATTTCTCTTAAAATAAAAACTATGTCAATAATATTATTTTTGATATTTTCTAATGTGATATATTTCTTGATTTATCATATATTAATTACTTTTAGCTTCGATGCGAAGCGGAGAAAGTATTAATTTTACTATGATGTGTTTTTTTTTTTATGTCTGTTGCCACTTTTTCTCAGCTCTCACTGGACCGATTTCTTTCAAAAATACGTCAAAAGATCACAAATCGTATCTAGTTGAAGACATTACCCTTAAAAATTGAAAAAATTTCCCTCGTTCCCCGCAAATGGGGGAAATATCCAAAAAAATTACANTTCGTTTCTCGTAAACGGGGGAAATCAACCAAAAAATTACAAATTTAAAAATCGCTAATTTTCGAAATTTTTTCACTTTTTTTTCTTAAAACTTCCATAACTTTTTGAAAAATCAACAAATCAACATAATTTTTTTTTATACTAAAACCTTAGATATTTACCTTTCATTTGATATCATTTTTTTGAAAATCTATCACTTAACCTGCTCATTGGGGGGGATTTAAAATAGCAACTTTTTTACAAAAACTAACTTTTTCAACTTAATTTTTGAAAATGTTCCGAAAATATTGCGTCCTTCAAACATATATCAAATTAAAGCTTATTTTATGTACTACAAAATGAAAAAAAAAAATTTGTCCCGACACTTTTACTTCTAAATTTAAACGGCTGCCGTAGTTAAAAAAACACTATTTTTGTGTTAAAATTTTCGATTTTCCGATTTTAAATTTTCAACTTATAAATGCTATAACTTTTTGAAAAATGTATATATCAGCACAATTTTTTTTTTCTAAATACATTATAAGTACATCTTTCATTTGACATACTTTTTATTAAAATTGGACAATTTCCCCTTATATAGGGGGCGTTCAAAACTTAAAATATTGTAAAAAACATAGATCTTTTTCAACTGAACTTTTGAAAATGTTCCGGAAATACTGCGTCCTTTAAACATATATCAAATCAAAGGTTATGTTATATACTATCAAATGAAAAAAAAAAATTTGTCCCGACATCTTATCTTCTATGTGCAAATGGCTGTCGAAAATTTAAAAAAAAATGTAATGTTTGCGATAAAAATTACATTTTATCGGGATGTTTTTTGTACTTAAAACTGCCATAACTTTTTCAAAAATGAACAAATAAAAATAATATTTTTTTGTATTGAAACCTTAGATATTTCCCTTTCATTTGATATAATTTTTTTTGAAAATCTAACACTTATTCTGCTCACTGGGGGGATTTAAAATAGCAACTTTTTTACAAAAAATAACTTTTTCAACTTAATTTTTGAAAATGTTCCGGAAATACTGCGTCCTTTAAACATATATCAAATCAAAGGTTATGTTATATACTATCAAATGAAAAAAAAAAATTTGTCCCGACGACCTATCTTCTATGCGCAAATGGTTGTCGAAAATTAAAACAAAAAGGAATGTAATGTTTGCGATAAAAATTACCTTTTATCGGAATGTTTTTTGTACTTAAAACTTCCATAACTTTTTCAAAAATGAACAAATAAAAATAATATTTTTTTGTATTGAAACCTTAGATATTTCCCTTTCATTTGATATAATTTTTTTTGAAAATCTAACACTTATTCTGCTCACTGGGATGATTTAAAATAGTAACTTTTTTACAAAAAATAACTTATTCAACTTAATTTTTGAAAATGTTCCAGAAATACTGCGTCCTTTAAACACATATCAAATTAAAACTTATTTTATGTACTACAAAATGAAAAAAAAAAATTTGTCCCGACGACCTATCTTCTATGCGCAAATGGCTATTATTTCAAAAATATGCTATTTTAACAAATTTTTTTTAGCTTCGATGCGAAGCGGAGAAGGTATTAATTTTACTATGATGTGTTTTTTTTTTTT